TTCCTTGTCGCCCAGAAGCGAATGGTCGAAAGACCTGTGCAGCCAGATCCGTGGGGCGCGGGATACAATCTGGCTCTCAACCTCTTGTTCCGCAGCTGGCGAGTAGACGAACGAGTTCTGATCAAGCAGCTCGAATCCTTTCGGGTGGTCGACTTTCGTGACATCCAAGCTGGCGAGAAAAAGGACGTCGAGATCATTGTAGTACGGTTCCTGGGCATAAGCCTGCGGCACATGGCCCTGCAGTCGTTCTATGGTCCTGACCACGGTCCGGAAAGCCGCCAGCTGGAAATACGCCGACTCGTGCCTGTCGACCCAGTGGACCGCGTCGCCGCAGAAGCTGCCCGTCCCGAACAGAGCACAGTTGGCAATGTGATATTCCCCGCCACCAGTAGTCAGGATCCTTTCTCTCAGCATCTGCTCGACGCTCCTGCATAGGTCCGTGTCTTGCCATCTCGTCTCGATTTTTGCAAACTGCGCGCGCATACTCTCCAGCGAGGATCCCTGGGCGGCCGGCATTGGAAGCGGGAGGGATGCGCCTACGGCGACACTCGAAGTAGAGACCTGGCCCGACTCGCTCTGGGTCTGATCCTGCGGCGCGACCGTCAGAGGCGTCGAAGAGCTGGTCGTGATCCTCGTCCAGCCATCTTGGTCCACGATTTCCCTCCTCTTGTTGCTGTGGGGTTTTTTTTTCTTGCGGCTCGTATGAGGCATTTTCTCCCCCCGAGTTCACGTCCACGAGTCGAACCTCAAGGAAGGGTTATGATAGGAGCAGCAGTCTAGTGAGCAGCAAAGAGGGAGCGAGGAGTGAGGGAAATCGTGGGGAGAGCGCGGGATGGAACAGCTAGAAGAATGCTGCATATGGTACAAGGTACATTTGACTGCCTATGCCACGCAAGCATTTTCAAGGGTAATTGTTGGCCTCGCGCAAGGAATTACCTGCAGTTGCAGGATATTCTATTCATACCAAATGTATTTACTTTGAACCCCGAATTGTGTGAATTGTCGGGGCGTATTCCCGAAGATCAACCGGTTAGTGGTTGCCAGCATGCCCTGTAGCACTCCTCCACCCGCTGCGGTTAGTGTTCAGACTGCCTGGATATTCTCCCCTCATCTCACAGCCACTGCTTGTTGCCATGATGGGACACAAAAGAGCCACCATGTTCTTCCGCATTGAAATCGTGCATCACCTTCACGCAGGCCTCGGCCGACTCCAGAGGAGTCAGAGGGCCTGGCCAATCTGGAACCATCTTTCTGAGGTCCTGTATCACTGAAGGAGGCTCCTGTGTTCCCTCCCAGGTCGCGACCACGCCGGGCGACAGCGCAAAGAACAGAATACCTTCCTTCTTGTACTTTGCATTGTATTTGCAGATGGCCATGTTTACCGCAGCCTTGCTGATGGTGTAAGGCGCGTCGGTGGAGATCCCCGAGTTGACGAGGTCGGGATCAGCCATTCCACTGGAGATCACGACCACTTTCTTCTGGGTCCCCTTCTTGATGAGCGGAAGGAAGACGTTGATGACGTGGATCACTCCCACGACATTGACGTTGAACGAGTCAACGAGAGCTTTGTCCAGAGCTTCGGGCGAGTCTTCAAAGTCATCGAGACTTTTGCCCTGGCTTGTGTGGTCGATATAGGCCGCATTGTTGATTAGATAGTCAAGGGAACCGCCAGTGATGTGTGCCACTTTTTCTCTGGCCGCCAACAGCGACTTGAGATCGACGACTTCGGCCTGGATCATGGTAACGTTCTTGAGGCCATCTGCAGCAACCGACTTGTCTGCGGCTTCCTTATTTCGGACAATGCCGACAATTGTATTTTCTGGATTTTTGGCCAGAAACGTCACGAACCCATACTGTAGAGAATTAGCAGAGCCTGGTTCAATGCGTCGGTGGCGGACTTACCCCAAGGCCACGGTTGGCGCCTGTCACGAGATAAGATGGCATTTTGACCTTGATGATGTTTCAGCAGCTGTGTTCTGTGGTGTCTGTTCTCGTCAGATGTGGTATTGATGAGATATTGCTGAGGTCGCTGATTGATGGTTTCCGTCAACAACGACATGGCGATTTCACTCAATATATAGACGGTTCTGTCCCTCTAAGTTTCTATTTACCTTTTCATATTTGTAAGCCATGGTCATTTACAACATATTGTTTGCAAGCAACACGGCAATGGTCGGTGTTGCACTCGTCCGGAAGCATTCAAATTGGCTTACTTGAGCCATTCTCAAGGAGAACAGCGAGAAGCGGACGAAAGGACATGGCAGGCGACGGATGGGACTGTTCTGGTACTCAGAATCCCGGCTAAAGGGTTCGAATTCAACGGACTATATGAACGAGTTCTGTTGATCAAGATGGACGTTGAACGCGAGGCTGAAGGAAGCGGTTCAGTGAGAGCATGTTATAAGTTAGCCTTGCCAGAGTGGAACAAGGACATTCCAAGAACAGACCAAGAGTAGCAAAGTCGGATTTGGGGGTAAGCCTAGTGTTGACCAATGAGGTGGTAGCAAGTGTAAGGAACATTTGGCTACACAAAGTGCTCAGGCCCCCAGTTACATAAGTTAGCAAAGCCGTGGTCCGAAGTAAGAGTAAGACCTAAGACAAGCTGTTTGTCCGCTCGCGAATTCCGATTGACTGGTGGCGTGCGCGTTTCCATAGGTGGCTTGACAAGGTGACTGATTGATGTTACCTCTCCTGATTTGCTCAGTGCTGAGCAATTTGTGCAGCCGCCTGAGAACTTGGAGAAGATTATTGAGATGATTATCTCTGCTCGTCTGTCGAAGGGGTGGGACAGTGAAGGTGGCAAGGTAGGCGCGGGCACAGCGGGGAAGGAAGACCAGCGCAGTGCAGGTGAAGTGACTGCAAGTGTGGATGTGGTGGAACCAACAACTGCATCCCCCCTTTATCCTTGTCACATCTCGGCGCTTAACGCAGCTTCTGCAGTTACTTTCTAGCCAGACTCGGGCAGCATCCGTCCACCACCAACCCACCTAATCCTCCTTCTGGCCAATTGATCCCCGCACACGGACTTTCACTACCTGGTGCTCTTTCGTGCCTCGGGTCGAATCAGATGCGCCATCACAGCTGCTCTAGACCTGTCAACCCTGTTTCCTGCCTTTTCACACTCTCCGAAAAGTGCCACCCGTGCTCACAAACCACTCACAGCTCGCCATGCAGACAACTCTCATATCCCGAGTGCCCAGAACGCCCAGTCACGGCGTTTCCAAGCTTCATCTCTGGGCGGTTGACCGTCTGGCCTAATCATGCCCTGCAGTACCCCATCCCCTCCCAGCAACAGGGGATCAGACCTAAATAACAACCCAATGCGCTCGTTATCATGACCTCTCGACGGACTTCCATCTCGACAAAGCTCCCCACCTGCGACCTTGTTGGCCTTACCTTTCAAGTTTTCCCTCGACCACATCGGCCACCAAGTCAGCAACTCGTGAAGACCACTTGACTGTGACATCTTCGTCTCGACACCGTTCATATTGCAGTCCGAGGAAGGCTGCCGACGTCAAACAGAGAGGTCTTGTTGTTGTCAGGATGTCTTGCAGAACGGCACTTACTCTCCTCTCGCTTGTCAGCCTAATCTCTGCGCACACAGTCATTACATATCCTGGCTGGAGGGGCGACAATTTGGTGTCGAATGGCACGACGGTAGAGACAAATGGTCTTGGACAATATGCGATTGGAGACTCCGTGGAACAGCAGGATTACCTTTATCCCTATGGAATGCAGTGGATGTATCCATGTATGTGTTACCCGTCAAATATTCGACCGCATTCCCGAGAGTCACTGACCTGACTGATTTTTGCAGGCGGCGGTATGCCAACTTCTCAAAATCGCACCAAATGGCCAGTAAAAGGCGGCGCGGTCGCGTTTCAGCCTGGCTGGTTCCAAGGCCATGGAACAGCCTTCATTTACATCAACCTTGGTTTGGGGACAACCCCTCAAAATATGTCCAACGTTATGCTAAGCGGGGTTCAAATCATCGGACCTAGCAAAGATCCATACCCAGGAAGTTTCTGCTTCCCCCAGGTTCCTCTCCCAGCCAACATCACAGTCAACGTTGGAGATAATGCAACGATCCAGCTCATCGAGACTGCAGTCCATGGTGCCGCGCTGTATAACTGTGTCGACATTACCTTTGCTGATCCCGAGGACGTCCCGGAAGTTAATGCCAGCAACTGCTTCAACTCGAGTCAGATTACGAGCGACCTGATCTTCACGACTTCCGCACTGGCGTCTGACTCAATAGAGTTGTCAAGCAGCCGGTTCGGGTATTTGAGCACTGCGCTCGCCGTGGCTCTTGGTCTGCTACTGCTATGACTATGATGAGAAAGTTGTGTAAAACGATATATTGGATATGACGAATGGGCTCGGGTGGGACTGACTAAAGGGCTTCCGGCCTTGACAGGACCGACCTAGAGCGAGACAAAAATCTCCTATCCACCCACCTATGTTCTGCAGCATTGGAGTTGGCATTGAAGGTCGATACCGCCAGTCGCCCAGGTCACGACCTCGGCTCGGAGGAAGATGCCACCCAAGACTGCGACAACAGACGAGTAAAGCGATGCCATTTCCTACACCTTAGCGCACCCAGAAGGCGGAATTTCCCTGGATTGGCTGTTTGGTCACAGCGAGACACCATTGCATAGAAGTTGCGGGAGTTTTTTTGGTTTCCTCTTGGCCCACGACGCAATGAAACCATACGCCGCTTCGCGTCCATTTCGACGCGTCGAGTTTTTGTGGATGAACACTTGAAGCATGTATTTTTTTTCATCTCTAGCCATGTCGAAAAGAACGAGGGGCCAGACAACGGTCGTGTCTGGAGCTATAAGGCCTCCTGTCTGCCTGGTGTTGGGGAAAGGAACGCGCCACTGTCGAGATCAACGCATTGCACAAAGCAAGCAATTCGAAGTCTCTTTAATTACCCTGTAGAGTTACTTCTCAATTTCAGCTCATGATTTGATGAAGCCAATACCAATATGAGTGCAGGATTACTCTGGCCATATCCCTTGCTCAATGCCGTGGGCGACCATGCCTGGGCTTTCCCGTTGTTGTTGACCGAATTCTTCCATGTTGTCTACTTTCACTCCAACAGCCACCAGTCCATGAATGACGGTTTTGTCATCCCCGCCATGATCCTTCAGGGTTTTCCAAAAGCCACATCAAACTCCCCCAAGACATCCATACTGTCGTCAGTCGCACACGTCGTGCTTGATCTGCGTTGATAACTGATAGCTGTTTCGTATCCAGAATGCTCAGTTTACTGCGCTCTATGGCAATGCTCGGCCTCAAGTTGAATTTCAACTGGTCATTCTTCGACTTTCCCATCACTTCTGGAACACGTGACATTTGGACTCACTTGCTTGAACATCGTCTCCCAGTTGACCACCAAGAATCTCGGCGGGCAACAACGCGTTCTCGTGTGCCGCCGACTCGGCTTGCAATTCTTGCAAGAATCCCGTTCTGCCATCGCTTATGGCCATAGCAGCTTCCTCCTGGTTTGGGATAATTTGAGAGCTTCTCTGAGGTCCATAATGAGCCCTCGTAGATGGAGGCGTGTCGACCCAAAGGAGTTCACTGCGCTGCTGGCCAGGCGATGATTGCGAGGTGAGCAAATTTAGACGTTCGTCGTCAGCAACAAATCCGCCCTTAGCAAAGTCTTTCCAGCCTTTCCGGAGCTCAGATTGCTTGACCGGAGACAGAGAGTCCGACTGATTATTCTTCTGGGATGCCGAACTCCAACCTGTTCCTCGTTGGCCATCAACCTTTGGCGGTTCTGGCCGGGTTGGAAGCGATGCATCGATGCGATAGCCTAACGTTGAGATATGTGGTGGACCAACCCCAGTTCTAGCCTCGAGAGGGATATCCTGCGGAGGTAAGCGGGCAAGTGTCTGATCAAAGACCGTTGCAACCGGTACCTCCTTATCTTTGTGGCCTCTTTCAACAGTTTGCGCCGGCAACGATCCAACAGTCTCACTCGTCGTTGCTTCAGCTTGCCTGAACTTGGTAAATTCATCACAAGGGCAAAAACATATTTGAGAACATCGGCCACCACACCTATGGCCACATATGAGCGTCTCGCGACAGTCGAGCGTGCATTGGACGCCGTCAAGTGGGTGTTGATGGCAGAGACTAGGGCAACAGTGACCACAGGGCAGAGTCATGTCGCAGGGCAGCATGCAGCCACCTCCGTTGTTTTCCCAATCTCCTGGATATCTAACAAGAGTAGTCCTGCCATGGGGTTGACACTGTATTGGAAGCACACCCCCAAGTCGCCTGGGATTTGCTTCGAGTAAAGTCAGGACAGTGTGCCACAAGTCACTTCCGTTCATGAGGATTCTGGCGTTTCCAAAGAGATAGAAGCCGTATTTCGCCCGGGATAGAGCTACACAGGTTCTGTTTTCATTGGACAAGAACCCGATCTTGCCTTCCTCATTGTTTCGGGCTAAAGACAGAATGACAATATCGTTTTCTTCTCCCTGGTCTAAGGTAAGGTTAGAGTTGAGTTGCCAGAGAAATCAGTCAATGGGTGGACAAGGTTGACGGAGTGCTAGGACAGGCCACAAGTGCACAACCTTAGGCTCCCACCGAGAATCAAAATGCAAAACAAGGGCGGTAAGAGACCATCACTTACATGAATCCACTGTTTTCACATTCATCTTGCAAGCGTTCCGAAATTCAGGGAATGCTTTCAGCTCAGCGACTATGCGTTTGCGCTGTCCGTTGTAAAATGTCAGTACCGTGATCCGCGAAGGGCTGATGCCGTTCCTGAAAAGGTAGAGGTAGAAGCCAGCGATGAATTTGGCCTCTTCAGAGTTATACGTTGAGAGGGACTCGTCTTTCGCTTCCCACCATTCGTGGTCGAAGAAGAATGATTTGATCTTGCCCATACCCCACGACTGGACTGGCCGGTCGATGACACTGGGGTGGTCCTTCAGATGTGGGTAGAGAACGGAGATGAGTCGACTAATTTCGGGCATCATTCGTCGCTGCTGGAGCAATATTCTGAATGACATGTTGTTCCGCACAAGTCTTTCAAACAGTGACACATTCAGATGGAAAGGGTTACCTTCTAGTTCTCTGACGCTGCAATGGCCCTGAAGCTGTTGATGATCTCCAATCAGGATGAGATGCTCGAGGCTTTCCACGCATGCGACCGCGACAGGAGCTTCCAGCACCTCAGCCGCTTCTTCGATGAGGATAATCTTTGGTTTGAGAGCTGCCACGAGAGGTCTGTATTTGCTCAATCCAGTAGTTGTCATACCGATGATGGCAGATCGCTGGAGATAAACGATATCTTGTTCCCATTTGCCAATGAGGTAGTCTTTGACGAGCCGATTGTAGTTCTCGGCTGCCTCCCGAAATTTGGCTGTAATCGCATCCTTGGCTCGTGACTGAATAACGTGGTAAACAGGACCACGCCAGTAATAACCGATTTTCCACAAATCTGAAACAGTATCCAGCAACTTTGTCGCTCTAGCAAGATCGGCTGATGAAGGAGGCTGAACAGTAAATCTGTCGCGGAGTTCTTTCCACGGGCCTCTGAGCATCTCAATGTCTTCTTCATCATTGACTCCTGTAGAGTCCTCGTTTTCTCTGAGCTGCTCGAATTCGAGATCGTTATCTTCAACTTCCTCGAAGCCGTAGTTTTCTTCTGTATAGTCGACCTCGAATGGTACAAGCGCTTTATCCAACCATAACTGTAAGGGACCTTCTGCTGCGGTGGTTGCCGAGACCCATTGGGATGCACCATCTTCGAGTGATCGAGCTTGTTGAGCGCTGATAGCTCCTAGCTTTTCGAGAACCTGAGGTCCAGACACCTGATCTGTGGACCACGGGTCCGGCCCTGACATGGCAAAAGGTTCCAAGATCTGAGTCATGGTATTGATTTGTTTGTTCAGGAGGCTGCTGGCTTTTCCCAACGACCCACCTGGAACTGGCCTCAGTCGTTCCGCTTTCTGAAGTGCAAATAATGCCCGCTTCTGGACCTCGGGATTGGTAGAGCGGCCTCCCAACCGAACATAATTGGGCTCGAAGACAGAGATATGCTGCAACAGCTGATCAAGAGCGTGATTTGTCTGAGCAGCAATAACTATAGGCGGATCCGATGCCGTCTTCCGATTCGCATGCAGAATTTCAAGAGCTTTTCTCGAGACATATGTCTTTCCTGTCCCGGGGGGGCCCTGAACAATAGCTAGTCGTTTGGTAAGAATCTCTTTCAGAGCCTCCCACTGCGTGTCGTCTAGCGAGTCTGCGGGAGTCGGAGGCCAGTCTTTGGTTACATCGACTTTGGAGTATTCTTGCTTCTGTGCAGGGCCCGCTACTACGCTCAAGTCGAGAATAGGGTTCTCGTGAATGTAGGCAGGAGGTTGGGTAGAGGGGGAGAGATGACAGATATGATCACTCATGGGGAATCTAGGGCATATTAGCACAGACAAGCTAATATTGCTTCCGAAGCACGTACGTCTCTGAGCTAAGCTTTTGTAACGCCTTCAATGTGTGACGGTAAGCCTCAAAATAGCCTTGCTTTGCTTCAATCATGAGCCACTCTTTCTGGGGGTCGAGCTGGATTTCTTCAGGCCGGGCAAAGTAAATGTCAATCTCCGGGGGTTCAGACAACAACCCAGCCAGCGGCCTTGCCGCGATGACAGCCACAACCATGTCGTTCAGATCGATGGTCTTGGTTTTAGCTGGTATGAGTGCGACGATACTGCCACTGACCAGTCTTTTACTGTTAGCCCATTTAATGCGTCTTCCTGCTCGACGCGTGGTGAATTTGATCCTGGCAGCAACTCCTCGACGTGCAAAAGTAAAACCAACAATGTGGACCTGATCGTACACCGAGAACTTCATAGTGTCACTGGTGGTGGGATCCCGAATAAATTCCTGGATCGCATCACGGAGGCAGCCGACGGAATCCTCCCGGAGTAGTGCATGGTGAGTTTTCAGGTATCTGTCCTTGCTCTTGTAGGGGCCCTCAATCTTGTTTGCAAGGAGGGTAGCTTCTCCGACAGCCATCTCCTGCTTTGTCGGGATTTCGTCTTGAGAGAGCCAGGCATCTTTGTCAGAGGTAGATTGGATCCGTGCTTGCTTTGTGTGATAGTCACGGATGTCCAAACAGAGGGTAGGGCCAGGTTCGTCAATGAGGGTGTTATCCCGAGCACTGCGAACATTGGAGTGGTGACGAACACTTTTGAAGCGCTCGGACAGCTCTGCGTTCATTTCTGAAGAGTTGTCAGTAGTTTTCATCTCGATAAAGGTAGAGTGATCAAAGGCTAGGTTCCGTGCAAAATCAAAGCAAGGGACTCTGTTGGGTGTTTGTGGTGCTGGGGCGTGATTATAATATCGAACTCACCGCCAGTCTCAAGTGATTCGAAAGAATTGTTGCTCTCTGTTCCGGCAGGATGTTAGTCCTTCATCAAGAGAAGAGGTGTAAACAAACAGAAGCCGTAGTTGGGTGTTGATCATACCTACAGCCCTCTTCCCAAAGGCGGGATTCCCTCGCCCACGCCCTCGGTGGGTCGATCGCCGTCCTGACATGGCGGTCTGGATGCTGCAAACGAGGCTGAAAGGTGACGGGACCAGTGTCTGGTGGTTCACATGAATAGCTGGTGGTAGAACGAGGCGGCTGGCGGACAGTGGCGAAGACACAGATCCAGAGGCAGACGTGCAATGAAAAGTACTTGTGTTAACAATTTGTGCAGGCAGGTTTGGAGTCAGCTCAATTCGCAGGTAAGAGGCAGTCTAAGACCTGTTCAGCATTTGGGAGTCCCAAAGTACGCGACACTTTGGCAGAGAGGTTTCATGCTAGTGGTTGGAAGAAGGAACCAACCCAGACGTCTAATCAGCCAACCGTGTCCAGTAGCTGTCAAGAGAGAAGCTTGCGTCGTGATGGTCACTGAAAGTATCTCGTCTATAACAACAAAATAACTGAAATAGGCATATAATCTGTCAGGCGGAGAGCAGTAAGAATCAAGTTACACAAGCATCAGGCTGAGGCTGGACGCCAAAAGGAGTCTTAGCACTACTGTAGTACCTGCCTGGGATGCTTACATACTCAGCCCGAAAAACCTGGCAATGGTCCAGATCATCGACAGACAACCAATGAGACATGATATTATTAAACGACAAGAGGCCCAAGGTAAGGGAGGACAAGGTAGACAGAGCAAGTTATTTCAATGTCGGCTATTTTGCTTGCTTCAGGATATGCCGGATCGGATAATCTTGTACTCCGAAGACGCTAAACCTTGGAGGGAATGGTGGGAATCGTTACTTTTGATCCAGTCGCTGTCTGGGATTCATTCTCACAACCACCGATTTCAAGATCGGTTCCTTTCGATCTATATATACACTTTGCCTGTCGTCATTTGAGATACTCAGCATCATCTAGCTGCTGTACGCTCCCATATCCAGACTATGAGCCAGCATAATGCCCACATTCGACGAGGATGATGACCGATCACAGGACGGAAGTTTCGACAACGACAACGACAACGACAATGATGAGACCATGCAAGATCTGGATGATGCGGATGGAGATGCCGAGGGTGACGGCGACGGCGATCAAGATGTGGACGCCGATGGGGACGGGGATGGAGAACTAGATGGTGACGCCGACGGTGACGCTGAAGCGGAGGCCGAGGGCGATGGTGATGGTGATGACGACGAAGATGCGGAAAGCCAGTCTGAACAATCCGACAACGAGGACACCTCTGGCGAGCAGAATGCAACACAAGAGGACACTCAACAACCTTCGTCCACGCAGATTGACTCTTCCCGAGGAGCTGCAACAGCCTCAAATATCTCCCCTGAATATCTCGAGGCCTTGACCTATGATATTGTCCCAACCATCGCCGCTCCTCACAGCACATCTATCAACGCCGTCACCACTACTGCAGATATGCGATGGGTGTTCACTGGGGGCTCCGATGGTTATATCCGCAAATTCAACTGGGTTGATTCGGTCAACTTCAAGCTTGCTCTTACGGTAGCTCAACGGCATCCCTTTGTCGACAGTGTGGTAAAAGCTGGGGTCCTGATGACATACTGGGAGAACTGGGACGCTCGCCCAACTACCACCCGCACCTTGTCGCCGGTATACTCCCTTGCTTGCCATAGTCAAGCACTATGGCTCCTATCCGGTACTGCATCAGGTCCCATTAGGTTACAGTCAATCAGACACGACGAAGGCAGAGAGATCACGTTGCTGCAGAAACACACGTCCGCTGTCTCAGTCCTGACACTCTCCTCGGATGAAAAAAGTGTACTATCCGGGAGTTGGGATAAAACAGTCTTGGATTGGGACTTAAACACGGGCCAGGTGCGGACCACATTCGCCGCTAGTGCCAGCCAGATATCTTCCATTGAATCTCGTCCGCTGTCGTCGGTACCTGTCCCAGCCGAATCAGGAGAAGTCATTGTCACTAATGGCACACTCTCCTCCAACGATAGTAAACCCCTTGCCAACGGTGTCAAAAACGAGCCAGCCGGTGTTGAAACTCAAGAACATCCCACAGTTGCGACTCCAGATTCTCTGTTCGGGGATGACGATGATGACCTCTTTGGAGGCGGGGCTGGTGGAGTCATGGGCAATGGTAGTGACCTCAGTGGTGCCTTCGGCGAAGAGGATGATGAAATGGCGCGTGCAATTGCAAATGGTCCACAACCCGAAGAACTCGTTGACCATCCAATGTTGGACTCCGTGGATCCAGCTGCTCAAGAAGTCCCAGCTCCTACCCAAGAGGACTCGAATCTCTCGTCAACTGCACCAGAACCCACGCCGCAAGTCCCTAATGGCGCCCTCGATACCGCTGAGCAGCCGCTTATCAATGGCTTGCCACATGCAGAAGATCTCGAAAAGCAGGATGATAACCAGAACGATCACCAGGATAGTGAGGTCCCGAATACATCTGACTCTACTTTCCTCGCGACGTCTATTGATGGGGCGATCCGCGTCTGGGATCGAAGACAACCCAAGCCCGTTGCGCGTATTCTGCCACGGAATACACCTCCTTGGTGTCTGAGCGCGTGTTGGTCTCCTGACGGCAACTTCATATACGCAGGACGGCGCAACAACACTGTCGAGGAGTACGACCTACGGAAAGGGCTCAAAGGACCCGAACGAGTTTTTCGATTTCCAAATGGAAGTGGTGCCGTCACATCAGTCAAGGCTATGCCTAATGGTCGCCACCTAATATGCGCTTCGTATGATATATTAAGATTATATGATCTCAAAGAGTCACAATCCCAACGATCAACCGTCCCGTTCTTGATCGTGCCTGGTCATCGAACTGGGGTCGTGTCACACCTGTACCTTGATCCAGCTTGTCGATTCATGCTGTCTGCTGGAGGCAACCGGGGCTGGGAAGGGGCTTCGACCGAGGTCCTTCTGGGCTATGAGATAGCTCCTGGTCGATGAGCAGTGCCAGGCCATGTTTTGTTCGACAAGTCCCAACCCAAGCCTAGAGCAGGCCTTCTCCTCTTTGTCGACTCGAAGAAAGGAATGGCGGCCACAGATAAAGGAATGTCTTTGGGAGAAAAAGCCACTTTGGTGTTTTCAATTGTCGACAAAGACCGAGCCGCCCATTGAAAGAGACTGCCAACGGTGACCAGGGGAGTAAGCAGTGGAGTGTCTACGCTGTGCATTATCCTCTAGTGTCGTGCGCAAAGGCAGTGAGTGCGCCTGATCTGTCTTAAAATGTGTTTAACCGTTGCTCGTCTGTCTGCCGAGCCTCACTATTCACATGCTGAGCACCTTCTCTTCGTGATTTTCACAGATGATCCACAACACCACAGACCATCCCACATTCTGCACAAATAATTCTTCCCCTTAACCATGCCTACCACGCAAGGCTTCGAATTCCTTGTTGAAGGTGTCGACGGTGTGCCATTTGCCACATACGGGACCAGATCTTTGGGTCGAAGCATCGTTTCCACCAAAATCCAAGCCAAAACCGGCGTGAGCTTTCAAATTCGGGTCAAACCGCAAAACCCCTTCCCCACACCGAACGATGCACCCCTTGGCCAGAGCAGGTATAATCTGAGACCCTCGACACGAAGAGCTGAGCTGACCAACGGCAGGAACGTGGGCAACCTCGAGTCACCAGGCGCCTCGGCAGATCCAAAAGCTTCATTCCTCTATGTCGCTTTCGTGTATATAGACGGCAACAAGAAGGCCGAGTGCTCGAACGTTGTCGTGGTGAATCCTGAGAGCCGCAAATACAGTGAAAAGGGTTGCTTGCTTCCAGGACGATACTCTCTGCTCGACGATACTGCAACTCAGAATAGGTCGGACCAAGGCGAGCGGGCACATATGTCGATCTGCCCATGGGTGTTTACAGAGAGGGGGATCGATGTTCTTATGAGCCGCATGAACATCTCAACTGCAGACCCTGACATCCCAGCCACGGCAATGGAGCAAGAATTGGTGGACCTCACACACGCAATGGATAAGGATAAACTAGGAGAAGCCGCCCAATTCAAGCGAGGAGAGATCGAGGTTAAGATCATCAGAGTCCTGGAAGATTACGTAGTGGGCTCCGAGCTGTACTGGAAGAGAGAAAACCAGGAGACTCCTAAAGATGACGACGGTCAAACCCACGATGTCACGGTCGATCGGGGGCAAGAGCAACAAATCCACATGCACAGCGTCAAATACCGTCGGTACCGACGTGACGAGGCATTTTGGTGCAAAGCCGTCTTCCAGTACATGGACATCGCCAAGCTCGTGAATCTCGGATTATGCAACCCACACGGCGGACTGGTCGAGCGTCCCCAAGGAAATACCATCGGCAGCTCCCTGCAATCATTGTCTAGTCTTCAATATCAACTAATGCCTGGTCAATTGAAGCGTACGAGGGGTGGCGGGCAAGAGTCGGGCAAGCATGGCGAGTCTGAGCTTGACAGGTTCTCGTCAAGCGAAGACTCGGCCTCAACCACAACCAGCGACTCTGACGTGCCTCATCGAAAGCGTCGTGGACCAATGAAAAGACGCGGAGCTAAGGCGTCGAAGAAGAAGATGACAATGGGGGAGACTCGTCGAGGGACAGCACGCGCATCAGCAGGCATTCAAGGGCCAGGAGTTGGAGCAGCCAACAGACAATTGCAGCTTGAGAAGGCAGCCGGGGGGCAGGACTAAGATGTGATGGCTCGAGGCTCGCAATAAGGACATGCTGGACTTGGGGGAGGATGCGGCTGGAACAAGATGTCTGCTCAACACGGACCATTTGCTTATGCCCCCCGTGGCATTCAAGGTTATTTATTGTCCGAAGCGGAGCACGGGGCTTTGAGCAATTTCGACATCTTGATTGGACAAGTAAGAGCTGCGCTTGTAGCTTATTGAGGCGGAGTCTTGGATGGTTCACAAGGCAACCGATTCCACCCCATGTCGCAGTTTGGCTCTCCCCCCTTCAACAGATCAATGCACATGATTTCAATCAATGACAATAATGCTCAACTTCACTGTAGTTCTATTCTTCTCGACGCATCTTCACTGTTTGCCCATACGTTTGTTTCGACCACTGCAACCCCCGATTCCCGCATGATTGGCAGCGGTTCAGACCCCGGTTGACACTAACTGGTCATTGTTTCAGCTGAGCCGTCCCCGTATTCTGTTTGGCTGCGCCCGCCCCCATCACCAGTGACCACTGCGAAGTAACACAGACTGCGGGCAGACCGCTGCGCCCGTCTTCAGGCTGGCTCAGCAACTCGATTTACTCTAGTATAGGTGGCTCAAAGGTGCATCTGTTGCCAATTTTGAACCGCTTCTCCATCACCAGACATACCTCAACCGTTCGTGCTCGGCAGTTGACACAAGCGCTGCATTGATTCTTACCACGGACCACCTGTATCGCTTGCGGTGTCACCATACGGAGTTCACAGAGGACCCTCTTTTTCTACATCTCTCGGGAAGTTGCAGTGAGCGAGAATGTCGGGTGGCGGAAGGAACTTCTCCTTCGAGCCCCAAGATGACAACACTTTGAATCCGCATGGACGGGAGCCTCAGACCCAGGCATCGGAACAACCACACCTGTCTTACCAACCCTACCAGCAGCCGCCATATCATGAGACCCCACCAAGAGATTTGATCTCTCCTCCTCCCCGATACGCCTCTGTCTCCCCAAGTCGCAATCAACAGCACTCTCCTCCCCAATCCCCCCGCCCGACGCGCTGTCCCTCAAGACACACATCTCCTCGCCGATACCTCGCCTCCCAGAGCGCTTTCACGACGATCAGCACCTACAGACTACGACGACCACGGCCCTCCCCCTCCTCCGCCTCACAGGTCTAGTCCGAACAAACTCTCAAGAGACGATTCACAAAGCCACAATCCCTACTCGAACGTGAACGCAGGGATGGACCACCCTGGAAATAGGGGGGTAGGAGGGGGATTTGACCCTGTTGCGCAGGGCGCTGGGGATCGATATCCTTACGAGACTGGTATTGACAGTGCTCGCTCATTTCCTCAGTCCTACTCTCCATACCAACAACCACAGCCCTCGTCACGGCTTCCCGAGCGAGCCTCATATGGTTCGACATTCGCTCTTGCTCATGGTGCCGCAACCCCAGGCACCATCACTCCTTCTCCTTCTCCCGGACCCAGATCCTCTGCCTACTCCGGAAGGAGTATTCCCTTGGAAGAGTATCACCCCAGTTCCCAAACACCACAATCGTACCCAAGCTACCACGATCTCCCCTACCAGACAAATACCCCCGGCAGCTTTATAAACCAAGCCAACATCAATCCGAACAACATTCTTGACGATGGTGATGACGGAATACCACCAGTTGGAAACCACCGAAACACTGGAAAAGGCGCTGGCCCCGCTGCAGCCGCTGCAGGAACCGCTGGCTTCCTAGGAGGTCTCTTTGGCCGCAAATCAAAGAACCACACTCCTAGTGGGACTTATGATGCTGTGGGTGCAGCTTCTAAAACCGAGCGAAGTGAATGGTTGGCAGAGCAGACCAGAGGGAAAAGAAAGATGAAGTTATGGGTGGGTGTTGCCATTGGCCTTTTTATCGTCATCGCCATTGTTGCAGGCATTCTGGGTGGCGTCCTGGGTTCAAAAAGCTCAAGCAGTTCCGGCTCGTCCAGCGGCGACACTAATAATGCAGCCTCAGACACTGATGCGAATGGGGACCTTGACAAGAATTCGGCCGAAATTAAGGCTCTCATGAACAACCCGGACCTCCACAAGGTCTTCCCAGGAATGGATTACACCCCTTGGGGTACACAGTATCCTCTATGCTTCACGTACCCACCCTCCCAGAACAATGTCACACGTGACATGGCCGTCTTGTCACAGCTCACCAATGTCGTCCGCCTCTACGGTACTGACTGCAATCAAACCGAGATGGTGCTTCATGCCATTGATCGTCTTGAACTCAGCGACATGAAACTCTGGATGGGCGTCTGGATTGACACCAATCAGACAACCACAGATCGCCAATTGGATCAGATGTACAAGATTCTGGCAGACACAAAGGACCACTCGGTCTTCAAAGGTGTCATTGTCGGTAACGAAGCTCTCTATCGTGCAGGTGAAGACAAGGCACAGTCGGAGCAGGAACTGATCAACGTGCTGGACGGTGTCAGGACCAAGTTCAAGTCCCTCGGCTACGATCTCCCCATTGCCACATCAGATCTAGGAGACAATTGGAATGCTCAGCTTGTGCAGGCCGTGGATTATGTCATGTCGAATATCCATCCCTTTTTCGCCGGTGTCACGGCAGAAGTCGCCGCCAGTTGGACATGGGATTTTTGGCAGAATCACGATGTCATCTTGACTGAGGGAATGCCCAACGTCAAACAACTCATCAGTGAGACGGGCTGGCCCAGCGGAGGTGGTAAAGATTGTGGAGGCACGGACGGATCCTGTACGGCCGGGCAGAGTGGATCTGTTGCAGGCGTTGATGGCATGAATACCTTTATGGACAATTGGGTGTGTCAAGCATTAGCAAACGGCACCGACTACTTTTGGTAAGTCGCGTCCCCTCTGGATAGTAGTAACGGTTATAGACTGACATCAGTACGACAGGTTTGAGGCATTTGATGAACCATGGAAGGTCATCTATAATACTGCCAGCCAACAGTGGGAGGACAAGTGGGGCCTCATGGACCCAGGCCGGAACCTGAAGCCAGGCCTGAAGATCCCCGACTGCGACGGCAAGACGGTTGGGTCTTGATCAAACTTGGGCGGCGGCCGATTGAATCTGGGAATCGATTTTAAGCCATGTCGCTTCACGAACACGCCTCATTCCTGACGCGAGTTGGACACGGTTTATTGCATGATATCAGTGTTGCAGCGTTTTCGGCATTTTTGTTGGAAGGACATTTTCATGTGTACAGTCGGCAGCGATGTTGCTAGACGCCCCCCATGCTGGTGACCATGGGTAAGAGACTGAGCAACACGGCCAGCGGGTACGGGTAAATGGAATATGCGGACAGTATACGAGCTTGAAGGAAGTCATGTCTACGTTCTTTGGATGCAAGGGGAAAAGTCACTAGGGTCAAGGGGCGGCATGTACAACACTTCGTGGCAATTGTTTTATGGAGTGCACAGGCAGTCATGGTGGCACGATGTATATAATCGTTTATATATTAAAGGAGAAACCCGATCGATATGGGAAGAGCTCCTGAGGGGTATGTATCGAGGGTCGGAGAGATACTGTACAATAGTACTGTATCTTTATCTGGGCTATTCTGTCGACCTCCCCATTTCTGGACCAAACCCATCTGAACATCCCATTTGAATATGCGACGCATGTACAAGAATGACTTGTACACACGTGTACAACGCCTATCCCGTAGACACACTGTCCTCGGAACAGTACAGCATATCCCTGTCCGTTATCTAGATCGTACCTCGTACCTCGTTCATAACACCTCATCATCGCACAGGATAGATCAATGCCAGGGACAGGGGATAGGGGACAAGGATAGGACAAGAGAGGGAGAGAGGGAGGGGGAGAGATGCGAGAGGAAGAAGGGGCCAAAGGGGAGAAGAAACAAAAAAATACGATAAACACGCGCGTCTGTCAGATCGAAACAAAAGATACTTTGGCGCAAAAACCGCTGAGGGAAGAGACAGAGACAGAGATAAGAAGAATATCCATTCATTCTCTCCTTGAGATTCGACGTCCTCATCCTCGTTCCTCGCCTGGCCGGTCCATCGAAATTTCCTGCCAAAGAAAAACAAATAAAGATCCGTGATTGACGGAAGTTCCTCCTCCTATTTTGAAGTGGTTGGTGGTGACCCTTCCCTTTCCATTCCATTCCGTCCGTCCGTCCCCTGCAATCGCTGTGCTGTGCTGTGCATCGCATTGCCTTATCCATCCTGCCCATTTGAAGCTCCATATACAGCCATTTTCGCTATCCGCTTCTTCCTGTTCCTTGTATATATACCATATCCCAAATGTCCAACTCGGTTCCCATTGCCATTCTCATTCCCAAAATTTCCATACTTCGGGGCCATACCAGGCCCGAATGCTCAAATCCAATGAATCCACCCAGGTGAATATAAAAGTGATCAAGACAACAAAGAAAAGAAAAGGTATCGTGAAAACATCAAAGTGAACAAAGGCAGCCTCTGCCTCTTCAAAGTCCTTGTCCCGCAGCCGTTGACCCTGTGAATTGAACAATGCACCAGTCGATCCGTTGATGGCCAGTCGTTTTTGTAGATGGGCGCGCGCTTCTGGCCATGGCAGAACCAACTTGGATGTCCAAGTAACAAAAGAGAAAATCGGCCGTCTCTGTAAAATCGTTCCAAATCCCGTTTCCCAATTCCAGCCACAGTACATTCCCAACCGTAATGCATAGCTGGAAGGGGTGACGAGGCAAGATGCACTCGCCATTGAAGCCATTGCTTGGTTAAGTAGACTCCCCCGCAATAAAACAAGCACCAAGTCAACATCCGCCTGCTACCAACAACGTACCAGAACAGCGGCAAATCGCACCAGGGTATCCATAATGTGTTTTATTTCCCTCCCAAAAACGAAAGGTTCCCATATAATGGGCTGCCAAAGCAAAGTAGGCATGTAAGGAGGAATGTTGCAGATGTCCTCCCTTGATCAAATTTCATCTGTGACGTGCAAAGGTCGTAGGTCGCGATACTCTCGAAAAAAAGGCGGCAAATCGAAAAGCGTGGGAGAGGCGGCTGAGAATTAGATGGACCGCAAATTCAGGTATCGTGTGATTGCATAGCGCAAGGAGTGTAGCATGCGACCGTCTGTGTCTCGGCTGGTGACATCGATATACAGCGCATCGTTTGGACAAATCGGACGAAAATGTACAACCCAAAATCTGCACTCGGAAGTCTCGTCGGAAGTCGCAAAACAAATATGCGGACATGCTTGGCCGAGCTACCAACACTTGTTTAGTCCGAGGTCGGGGCTGGCGGTGTCGGTGCTTGCGTAGTGGCTCTGGTTCGTTCAAGCCACCGCCGCTTGCCAGGTCGAGTTTCGAGGTGAGCTGGGATATGTGATGGATCGGCACCGGATGCGAGGAGTGCACTTCGTTGCTTGCTGCGGTAGGCGTCGACTGTGCGATACGTCAACATTTTCAGCGCCATATCAATCTCTGAAGCACTCACGGGCTCGAGCAAGGAAGATTGGTCTGCTTGAAAACACTCGACCCTGTCCCCAAGCCATGCGATACCCGAGTTCATTGACCTTCTCTTCCCGGTCTCTTTTGCTCCGAGAAATGAGAGGAACAGACACCTCAGCTTCGCCATCCGTGGCCGGGACCGAAACAGATGTTTTCCCAATCGTCGGCACACCGCCGTCGACTTCGTCCCCTTCTTCGACGAAACGCGCCCCCAGAATCGACTCGGCACCAGTCTGCATCTGAACCGGGAAGTATGCACGAGGAAAAACAGCGTTCCGCTTGCGGTAAGAATCCGGGATCTCACTCATCTCGATTTGATCCAGAGTAACCTTGACTCGCACACGGGCATTTTTCTGCGTATCCTCCACCAGAATAAACTTTCGTCTTTTGCCTTCAGGCAGCTCTCCGAATAAGGCATTGTCTTCCTCGTTCTTCTCCTCTTGTTCTTTCGAAACCATAGCAGCCGTCCCGCCCGGTCGCCCGAGATGGTGGAGACCTCCCTGCATTGATGGTGCCATAGAAGGTCCCAGAGAAGGAGCCAGCGAGGCTGGATAGCTTGGATAACCTGCGAAAACATGACTTTGACGCAAGTCGTTGGGACTCGCCATTTGTGGAGTTACAGGATTTTGTCGATACGCTTGTTGTGCGGGATTATAGGTGGGAGCTGGAAGAGTGTTAGCCGGGACCAGTTCGAGTCCTTTTTAGGAGGGGTTGATTAATGGGTTTACATACCTCCAACATTATCATGCCCGGTAGGAGACACATCCTGGGTGTGATGGAGTATCTGAGATTGTGTGCCGGGTAGAGCACCGGGGGGCCTGGTTGGGGGAGCTGCCATTGAGTTTGGACCGGGAAGCCCTGTCGACACGGGACCGCCCGACCCAGGTGGCTTCCCCATGGACGAGGGTGTCATCTTGGACCTGTTCATCTTGGCTTGTCGCCGAACACGACGACTTCGCAAACGCGGGTCTTGATTGCTGTTCCTCCAGCTGTCCACCGCCCTTTGGATCAGCCCTCTCTTGCCTCGAAGACATGGGTTCAACTCTGCGAGTGCCCAACCCACATTGTTGCATTCTGTTTCATAGTTCAATCGGTTTCCTTTATACTGTTCTTTCGGCACACAAGCTCGTGGGTAGACGCAATTTTCAGACTTGAATTCTTGCGACAAAATAGTAGCATCCACCGAGTCAACGTCACACCTGATGGTATACTCCATCTTTACGCGGTCTCTTGAGTACTCGAAAGCTATCCACTGTACACCATTCCCGTCCTGCCGCACCTTTAGAGGAGTTGTGGCAGGAATAGGTCCGGGGGCAGCGTTCGAGTTCGGTTGTAGATTTGGCGGCATTTGTTGCGTTGGAGGCTGTTGTTGTTGTTGCGGTGGTGGTGGCTGCTGCTGCGGTTGTGCCTGCTGTTGCTGTGACATTTGCTGCTGCTGCTGCTGCTGTTGCTGTTGCTGCTGATGTGTAGGTTGCTGTTGTGCTTGTTGCTGTGGTAGGGGCGAGGGCTGGGGTGCCGGAGTTGGATGTTGCTGCTGTTGAAGCATTCCCGCTCGCGCTTGTGGGGTTTGCTGATAATGCTGGGTTGGCTCCGACTTCAGTCTTGGACTGCTGGAAATGGTGGAATGATGTGAGGCAACTTGTGGGCCCGCAAGTTGCGAACTGGTAGATTGATACGGTAGCATCGACTGGGAGTTGATTGGATGTTGCTGAGGAGTTGCATGATGTTGTCCGTATGGCTGGGGTACCGAATTCATACCATACTGATATCCATACAGTGGCTGGCTCAATTGAGAACCTGGTTGAGCATACATGGGCCTTACAGGGTCGTGGGTCTGAGGTGAGGTGACGGAAGCTGGAGAGTTGGATTGGGGGGTGTGATAAATTGGAGGGTATGGCCTCTGCATGGTCGCGGTTGCTGCCATAGAATCGGATTTTTCTAGACCTGAAATTAGTCCGCCGAGGTCTATAGCGATTGAAGTGCCGTTTTCGACTCACCAGGGGGGAAATAGGTTCCAGCACCGCTGTGCTGGCTTCGTGGACTTTGCGTCGGAGGGTAGAAGTTGGGTGGATCAGTGGTTGCGGGTTGCGCTTGGAATTGCGCCTGGCTATTGAGAAACGGCGACTGGAGAGTGGGTTGAGGGGTGTAGAGGTTCGGGGACGGATAAGGTTGCTGGGTGCTCTGACTTCCGCTCAACGTCCTCGTCTGCGATTGTTGCGGAATGTGATGCAACGGCGCAACTGATGAATATGGCTGTGTTGTGCGATGCTGCATGAAGAGCCCATATGGTCAGCGCAACGATCGCGACAAAGATGAATCAAAGCGCGACAGAAGCAGATTCGCGTCCAGAATGTGAGAGTAGGAAAAGACGCCGTGAAGACAAGTCAGAATGAAAGCATCCTGAATAGCTATCGGAAGCCCGGTCGAAAGCAATGCATTTTGATTGATCCAAACCAGGGCAAGTATTCGCGATTGGGACGACCCTCATCCCCCCGGTTCATAGTGGAGAGCCAGGGGACCTCAATAGATCCTGAATCTTTTTTAGGGCAAGAAGCGAGAATCCTGTGTTTGTCGACGAAAA